CAACTTCTTTGCCACATCTGCAATAGCGATGCCAGGGTTAGTGAATTTGATCTCCAGGTGAAATTCTGAACAGAACAGGAAGAATCCAGATGGTGACCTTTTAAGGGCATTAGGGTCCTTTTTCTCCTTGCCTCCTTTAGTGGAGTGTGTGTGTGCTTGCCCAAAATCCCAAAATGAGACCGGAGGAGAAGGGATTGATTGCAGTGTGGCCATACCCCCTTGGGGAGTGATTTCTTGCTTTCTGTCTCTCTGTCTCTCTCAGTCTCTCTGGCAAGTGCATACACCCTCCCTCTCAAAAAAAATATATATATACTGGGACCAGCAGTTAGCGTAATGGCTATGTCGCTGGACTCCCACTAGTTGACTAAGGTTCAAGTCCTGGACCCGGCGGTTTAAACTCACGCTAGGCGCATGTGCATGTGTGCCCAAGATCCCAAGAGGAGAACGGAGAAGGGATTGCAGCGTGGCCATCCCCCCTGGGGGGTGATTTCTCGCTTTCTATCTCTCTGTCTCTCTCTGTCTTTCTAGCAAGCGTACGCACCCTATAGCGAAAACCTCTCCAAAAAAAGAGAGAAATATATAAATATAATATATATAGTATATATACATATATATTGATACACACATACATATATATATTTAGTATTTTGCATCTGTATTTACAAAGAAAATAGATCTATAATTTTCTTATTCTAAAAAACAAGATTAGACCAGCATCATAAAATGGGTCAGGTAATTTTCCTTTAATTATTTTTTAAGAAATATTTATTTTATTTTGTTATTATTATATTTTAATTTGCTATAGGGCATGTGTGCTCACCAGAGGAAGACAGAGAGAGAGAGAAAGAGGGAAAGTGAGAAAACAAGCCGCCAGGTCCAGAATTCGAACTGCAATCAGCCATGTGGGAGTCCAGTGCCTTAACCACTACACCACCTACTGGCCCCAATTTTCCTTTATTTTTAAATTTTCTATTTTCTGGAACATCTCATGTAAAACAGTATTTAAATATTTTGTAAAACTAGTAGGATTCAGGACCAGCAGATGGCATAATGGTTACCCACACGGTCGACTGTGGTTCGAGTCCCAAGTCCAGAGGCATGTGTGCATGCATGCCCAAAATCTTGAGAGGAGAATGGAGGAGAAGAAAATGTGCCATGACCATCCTCCCTATGGGGTGATTTTTTGCTTTCTCTGTCTCTCCAGTGAGTACACGAGCCCTCTAGTAAAAAATCTCTCTTAAAAAAGAAAAATAGTTGGACTCACCTTTAAAATTATCTAGGATAGTAGTAGCATTTACAACAGCCAAAAAGTGAAAGCAACCCAAATGTTCATCAGTGAATGAAAAGACACAAACGAATGGGTAAGGAAATGTGATATATACATTCAGTGAAGTATTATTCAACCTTAAAAGGAAAGGAGATTCTGACACATGTTACAACATGGATGAACCTTGAAGACATCATGCTAAGTGAAATAACTCAGTCACAAATTAAAAAGTACTTCATGATCTACTCATAGGAGGTACTTAGAGTAGTCAGCTTCATAGAGACAGAAGGTAGAATGGTGGTTGCCAAGGGCTGGAGAAAGGGGGAAAATGAGGATTTACTGTTTAATGGATACAGAGTTTCCATTTTGCAAAATGAAAAGAGTTCTGTGTATGAGTGGTGGCAATGCTAACACAAAATGAGAAGGTACTTTAAGGCCACCGAACTATACACTTAAAATAGTAAGATGATAAAATTTCTATATTATATATATCTTACCATCATTTTTTAAAGTTTGCAATAGGGCACATGCATTTGCTAAAGAAAAAAAGAGAATGAGAAATCACCCTCCCAGGGGGAATGGCCATTCCATAATCCCTTCTCCTCCATTCTCCTTTTGGGATTTTGGGCATGCACACACATGTGCCCTGCATGATTTTCAACGCTGCAGATCCAGGACTAGAACTATACAGTCAGCCATGTGGAATCCAGACGCCTTAACCATCACACCATAGACTGACCCTATTTTACCACTTTTTTTTTGTTTGGTTATTCAGGGCTGAGGCTTTTGGGAAGAAGCCTTCTATTACTATTTCAGTTTCTTAACACTTATTGATTTATTCAAGTTTGTATTTTCTTCCTATGCCATTCATGAATATTTTTAGAAATTTATCCATTTTATATAAGTTTTCAATTTAGAGTACAGTTATTAATAATGTGCATTTGTTCTTTTTAATTTGTTGTATTTTTTTATTTCACCATTTCATAATGAACTTTATTTATTTATATTATATCCTCTTTTTATGGTCTTTTTTCTCCTTTTTCTTGATCATCCTTTTTCTTATTGAGAGAGAGTTTTATTTTGCTATAGAGCACAAGCACACCCTGAAAATAGAGACAGGGAAAGTGAGAAATCACTCCCTGGGGGAATGAATAACCATGCAGTAATCCCTTTTCTTTCATTCTCCTCTTGGGATTTTCAGCATGCACACACACATACCTGGTTTGAGTTTCAAACCACCAGGTCCAGAACTCAAACCACCAGTCAGCCATGTGGGAGTCCAGCACCTTAATCACTACACCATCTGTTGGCCCCTTTCTTGATGTCTTTCTAGAGTCTTCTGCTTTTGTTATTTCTGACATCATAATTTCTGACTTCACTACCACTCTTCTTATCTAAGCTTTAATTTTAATTATTTTATTTTATTATATTTATTGTTATTATTTTGTTTCCTTTGACCAGAGAGAGAAAG